GGTGACAAAGATTTGTCCTGACTGTGGGCGAGGCAGGAAAACTCTAGCTACACCCAGGGGAGGGGAGGAAAATCAGAATCTTGGTTCCTTGAGCATCAGCACTACAGGCAAAATCTAGGTGTGGCCCAGGTACTAGAGAGCCAGAACAAACAGGAAATGAAATATGGCAAGAGATTGAAGACCGAAAGTCTCAGGAACTGAGGCAATCACTGCTCTAGTCTCCTGGGGCCAATCCTCTGGCCACATTCTCTGCCTCCTTTCTCTTCTGCTTGCTTGAGTCTGGCTGAACACAGCCATGCCAGCACCTAGTCTCTAGGGTCTTCCAGTACAGTTGTCTACCGTCTCCTAACTTCTTCCTGACACGTGGAGTGGAGAGGCTGACTGGAGAGGCAGCGCCGTACAATGACTAGCTGGTAAATACTTTAGCCACTGGCTCTTCAGGAAGACAGGAGACAGCTCAGTTGGTCAGGCGTTTCCTGCGCAAGCGTGAGGACCTGGGTTCGATCCTTAGAACACACATCAAAAAGCTGAGTGTGGGGAGTAGCAGTAACTCCAGGGCTGTGGAGGCAAAGACAGGCAGGTTCCTGTGCTCCTGGCCAGCCAGGGTAGTCAGTGAGCCTCCGGGACACAAGAGAGCCTGGCTCAAAAAAGGAAAGACCAAGGAAGTGGACAGAGCCTGAAGACTGGCACTCAGGGTTAGCCTTTGGCCTCCACACTGGTGGACACGTGGACAGGTCATGGCTGAGGACAAGCTACTAACACTCCTGAATGTGTAATTGGGGAGGTGTGTACCATCTGATCTTATGGGCCAGGGCAGCTGCTGGACCACTGGCTGCCTGTGTGTGCTGTAGATATCATTCTGTATGGAAAATATGTTAATAAATAAAACACTGATTGACCAGTAGCCAGGCAGGAAGTGTAGGCGGGATAAGGAGAGAGGAGAATTCTGGGAAGTGGAAGGCTGAGTCAGGGAGACACTGCCAGCCACTGCCATGACAAGCAGCATGTGAAGATGCCAGTAAGCCACGAGCCACGTGGCAAAGTGTAGATTTATAGAAATGGGTTAATTTAAGATATAAGAACAGTTAGCAAGAAGCCTGCCACGGCCATACA